GGTCTTGAAGGCTTCACGCAGCACCCTGGATTACCTGCGCGAAGTCCCTGGTCTGCGCGGCTTGCTCGAGAAGTACCACCGCGCAATGCTCGGCCAGTGCAAGGCCGTCGAGTTAGCTGTCATGTCCCTCTACCCCGGCACCATGCGCCTCCCCGTCGAAGACCTCCCCATCAAGCGCGAAGCCTACGCCAAAGACATCCTCGTCTGGATAGCACTCACCTTCTTCCGCCACTGGATCGGCCAGCGCCTCATCATGGACAAAGGCCGCCACGCTTCCGACTGCGGTTTCGAACTCTACAAGGCGATCGGCACAGCAGGAGATTCCTACATGGACAAGTCCGTCATCAACCAGTTCCACACCAAATTTCCCATGACGAAGAAAGCCATGAACGTCCTGGAGAACCATCTGCTCGAGATCAAGGAGTGTATGAAGACCGTCGTCGACCAGCACAAGATCCTCAAGTCAACCTGCCAGTTGGATATTCATCGCTTCCCCGTTGAGTATCTGACTTGCACTGAGTTCGACAAGGGCGATTACCCGTGGGACAAGGACAGCGAGGGCCCTAGGGTGCTTCCGGCGAAGAGGGCGTACAAGCCTGGCGGCAATGACATTGCTCGCAAGAACTTGGATACCGCGAGAATGCATCAGGAGAGGAGTATGAGTATGGAGGGTGAGGAGGAGGAAGATTCGGTCGAGTTTGAGAGTGATGATGATGAGGAGGATACCAGGGGTAAGCGGGCTAAGATTGATTAAGTTTTGGATCAAGGTATCCGCCAGGCGGTACTTTTGGGTTGGTTTTGAGCTTCATAGGATGCCGTGAGGACCTCTTGGGCGTTGTGTGATTTTTCAAAAGTGAGGGTTAGGTAGGTATGTTGGCGTCAAACGGATCTATGGCTGGACGGAAATGCGGTATTGGGTTGCTTGTAGTCGGCAAAAGGGTCTATGAGAGCATGGAAATTTCTTGATAATGGCTCGACTACCTCCACGGTTAGACAAAAAATGATGATTCTTGATTGTATTCTTATGGTGCAATGAAGTGAAAGGGAATATTCTGACTTGATATCTCCTTGAATCCGAGTGAAAGCTTCATTCCCGTTATCTCCTCCATCTCCCCTGATATCCTCTACTCGTCATCGAAGCCCGTCGGTCTCGGCCGTTGTCCCTTTGGTACTATAACAAATCAGTAAACCGTCTTCTTTCTCCATGTTTCCCTCTCCTCGGTCCAACAATTGTCTGAGCAACCATGATTCGCCATCCGCCACGTACCTGGGTATGTCATAGGGATCTTGGGGATCTGCTCCTCGCCCATATATCTCCGGATCGGGGGAACGGTAACGACCATTATGGGACCAGCGCATCCGACCATGATGGAGTAGAAGTATGCCGGCTTGTTGATAGAGGCCCATTTCATGTAGCGTATCGGCTGCTGGAAGAAGCGCGGGGAGGGGGGAATGCCGGACATGGTCGCTGTATTGCTGCTGGTATGTGAGCGCGCGTTTCGGAGTCGCAAGGCAAGTATGCGCGTACGTAGACTATCCCTTGTCGTGCGTCGGTAGATCCGGTAATCAGCAGGCTCAATGCCTCAGTCTGGTGTCGCAATCGCAAGTTGTCGGCGCGGGTCTGGTGTTCGTGAGGTCGCAGCCCGTAGCTCACTCACCTCCGCACTCCAATCGGCGTGCAGCGATTTTCCGGGACCGATGGGCTTGGCAAAAGCATACGTATCTCCGTTACAGCTCTCCACACGCCGGCGCATCTCGACAAGTCCACTCTTCGATCAACCACAAGATGAGGTGGTTAGTTTCTTTTACCGTCGCCTTCGTTTGGTCGGTGGTGGTGCAGGCCAAGAGTTTCACTGGCAACCGCTTGCTGGTTGTGTTGGAGGAGCAGGTCGAGAGGGAGAAGTACAGCGTGTTCCTGGAAGACTTGACGTGTAAGTTATGAGTTAGTTTAATCTTGTCCGGAGATGTCGTAGTGTCTTCAATTCGCGCAAGTTGCGATGCAAATACGAGGCATTGGCAAAGCTCCGTAGCCATCGAACTTGCAACTTGGCCTTGCGCAGCAGATGACGCTGAATCGAATCCGCTGATAGTGAGCCAATGCTGACACGACTGTATAGCCCGGGGATATACCACATCTGTCGAATCACCAAAAGAGAGCAAGCTCTCATTACTGAAGCACGGCGAACGAGCATACGACCATGTCCTCCTCCTCCCCGGCAAGTCGAAAGGCCTCGGCCCTGCTCTCACAGCGAACAATCTCCTCGAGTTCATGAAGAAGGATGGAAACATTCTGGTTGCCCTCTCGAGCGAATACGCTATCCCTACCGCCGTCCAGGCCATGCTTCTCGAAGTCGATATCAACATCCCAGCGGACAAGGGCGCATTGGTCGTCGACCACTTCAACTACGATGCGTCATCGGCAAAGGAAGAGCACGACGTACTGCTCCTGCCGTTCCCCAAGTCGCTCAGGCCAGATGTCAAGAACTACTTCGCTGGCGAGGGATACATTGCCGTGCCACGCGCTGTCGGCCAGGCTCTTGGAAACGAATCGCCTCTTACCTCGCCTATCCTCCGCGCTCCCAGCACCGCCTACAGCTACAACCCCAAGGACGAAGCTGACGGTGTTGAGGACCCCTTCGCGGTTGGTGAGCAGCTGAACGTCGTCTCTGCGATGCAGGCGAACAACGCGGCGCGTCTGGCAGTTGTCGGCTCAGCCGAGATGCTCCAGAACAAGTGGTTCGCTGAGAAGGCCAAGCTAGGCGACAAGGCTATCACGACTGGCAACCGCGAGTTCGCGCAGAAGCTTTCTGAGTGGACCTTCAAGGAGACGGGTGTGCTGAAAATTGGCAAGCTCCTCCACTACCAGGACGAGGGTGCCAGCAAGAAGTTGAACACCAGCACTGCCATTCCTGAGAACAACCCTGGCATCTACCGTATCAAGACCGACGTCGTAAGTTTATGTTGAATCGCGTTTACGACCAAGGTGCTAACAGACACAGCACTTCCAAGTCGAGATCTCCGAATACACGAACGATCACCTCGCTCCCTTCGTCCCCTCGCCCAAGGATAACATCCAGCTTGAGTTCAGCATGCTCTCGCCCTTCCAACGCCTGAACCTCTCTCCCATCGCACAGACCGCGAACGCAACCATCTTCGGCGTCGCGTTCAGAACACCCGATCAACACGGCATTTTCAACTTCCGCGTCAACTACCGCCGCCCATTTGTCACCAACATCGACGAGAAGAGGCAGGTCACCGTCAGGCACTTTGCGCACGACGAGTACCCGAGGAGTTTTGAGATCAGCGGTGCGTGGGTCTGGATTGGCGGTATCTGGGTCACCGTTTTGGGCTGGTTGGCATTTGTGGCCGTTTGGCTGTACAGTGCGCCCAGCGAGAAGAGCACAAAGAAGACGCAGTAGATGGACTACAAGCTTTTGGATGGGAATTTGGACCGGTTATGTGTGTGTAAACAAAATACTCCGTCGGCGATGCGCGGTATGTATATTATGGATAAAGGGCAAGAATGACCCAAAATTTCGTTGCGAATGCAATACCAAAGAATACCACAGTCTGCTTCCAGTTCCCTTTTCTCGTTCTCCCTAGTATCCTCGGAAGCTTTGACTGTCTGTTCCACCCCGCCCTTTCCTCAAAGCTTACTCTGTTCCTCCAAGACCCGCGGATGCGCTACCTTGCCAGGCTTCAACTTACTCCAATCCTTCTCATACCCCTCTTCCACGTCCGGATACGGTCCCAAAGGCGTGATACTAAGAGGGTTGATATCACCATGACTCTTCGTATACTGTGCGCGCAATCAAGGTCAGCCATCACAGCACCCTGCATGAACCCGAGCAATTCCACTTACATTCTCCTTGATATGCTTGAAATCCGTACTCTCCTTGAACCCCTCGACATTGTGATACAGGTTCTTCAGCCAATTGTTCAAAACAGGGTAGTCATGCCGTATCGAACCCAGATTCGTCTTGAAATGCTGCGAGTATACCGTGTCGAAACGGACGATCGTCGGGTACGCCAGGAGATCCAACTCAGTCAGTCTGTCGCCCAGGATATACGGACCGTCATTCTTGTGCACAAGTTCTTCCAGTCGATTCAGCGCAGCAAAGAGCGGAACAACACCCTTCTCGTAGCCTTCTTGAGTCGGCGCGAAGCCCGCCTTGTACACCCCCGCGCAAATCAGCGACTGCAACCACGAACTAATCTCATCAATCCTCTGCCTCAATTCCTCCGGATAGAAATTAATGCCCACAAGCTTTCCCTCGCTCTCCAACACAGAATCAAAAGCTCTTGGTAACCACTTCAACATCTCAGCACTCTCATTATTCACTATGCGACCGCCTTTCTTGTCCCAGAGAAGGGGCACGCTGTATTTCCCCTTGTAGGCCGGGTCGTCGCGGAAGTAGATCTGGTGCATGAATTGGCTGTTGAAGAGGTGGTCAGGTGTTGCGTTGGGGTAGCTGGCGTCGAAGCGCCAGCCGGGTTCGCCCTTTGGGTAGGGTCGGACGATGGAGACGGGGAGGTAGGGTTGAAGGCGGTTGAGATGACGGACTAGGTTTGGGCGGTGGGCGAAGGGGCAGAAGAGACCTGTGTGATACGTTGGTGTGAGTGTTGCTTTGGTATGGTGTTATGGTTCTGTGTGGGCTTACCGATGTAGAGGTGGTATCTGGCTTTCTCGGGTGGGAATTCACCTCCTTCTTGGATGACGCCGTGCCAGCCATCGTCGGTGCCGTACTTGTGGATTTCTTTGGTTGACATTTCGTGTTGATGGGATGGATGGATGAGATGGAAGATAGGAGAAGTCAAGAGAAAGTGGTTCTATTAGAAGAGTCTGTAGCTATCTGTTCATGTATCGTTCGTTATGCTGACTGCTGTGTACAGTGAAGCTGAAGCTCAGCCAGGATGCTCATAGTGGGGTATCTGAACGCCTCCTCGTCAGCTTATGCAGGGACTGCGGAACTGATTCCGAAATCGAGCTACTTCGGAACTCAAGTGCAGCACTTCAACTCTTCGCAAGTTACACCACAAGGCACTCCGCACGTCTCGGTACTCGTTCGTGCTGTTTGCGTTGAACTTGTGACGCCTTCGGCTGTTTCTCTGCCTCCAGCTTCAACCTCATGGATCCTGTCCGAAGCGGATGCCAGCTCAGGTTGAAGTGTTGCCGAGTGAATGCCGTACGCATGCAGACATTCAGAGAAAATCTTGGCTTTGCTCATGAAGCTCGCGATATCAGGGTCGCTGACCACAATATGTGCTGATGCGACAGCTTTCTTCTGATCCAGACGCCAGACATGCAGTTCGTGCACACTAAGCACACCAGGAATGGCCTCCAGATCGTGTTTGACGTCCTCGATTTTGACGCCCAGGGGTGCAGACTGAAGCAGAATCTTTCCGCTACGCTTCGTGAGGGGAATTGCAGTGAGAAGTATCATGATGGCGATCCACATACTAACTGCTGGGTCGGCATAATAACGATTAGGCGACTTGACGAACCATATGATAACGGCGGAGATGATCACACCGATGTTGTTGATCGCGTCGCCGATGACGTGGATGAGAACCCCGAGTATACCCAGATCCATGCCGTGCTTCTTTGGTTTGGCGGATATGTGCAGGTGATTGGCATGTATGGGTGTAAGTGACATGCTCTCTTCGTCGCCGTTGCTACCAGGGCCATGGTCGTGGTCATGTTCGTGTAGGAATAAAGCACTGATAATGTTGAGAGCTAGGCCGACACAGCCCACGATCAGGACTAGCTTGGGGTTCTCGACGCGCTCGATGCGGATGAAGCGTTCGATGGATTGTAGGGTGATGCTGACGCCTAGGGCGAGAAGGAAAGAGCCGTTGAAGAAGGCGCCGAGGAGTGAGGCCCGCGCCCAACCGAAGGAGAGATCTGGAGGTGAGGTCTTGCGCTCTGTCACCTGCACAGCTACCAAGGCCACTATGAAGCCGATGAGGTCGTTGAGCTAGACAGAACGTCAGTGACTTGGAGCAAGGAAGGTACGATGCAGGTATGTGGGAGATTGCGGGACGCACATAGTGGAAGGCATCAGCCACCAGAGCAAGTGATGATGTATAGAAGCCTACGGAGATTTCGGCCGCGAAGAAGCAGAAAGATATGGCTATCACGGCTCTGAGGCGGGTCTTTCGACTAACTTGGAAGCGGCCATGCTTTTGCCCATGCGCATGATGGCCTGGCTCGTGGTGGTTGTGGCTGTGGGCCATGGTGTAGAGGAAATGTTGATTTTAGGTGATAAGAAAGGGTTGAAGAAGAGCTCATGGTATTGAGGGAGAATAGAAAGTAGCAAACGAGGATGCAGACCGAGTACCTGCCTGGCTTTATGGACGTTTGTACCATGTTCAGGAAAAAGGTGTGAAACACAGGGACCTAGTGACGGTGCGAAATTCGAATCAAGAAATGACAACGGTTAGATACCTAGTTGAACTTCGAAGACATACTACCTGTACTATCAGAATCCTCCAAGTTCATGTAGTACTTGTACGTACGGGTTAGTCACAGACTACTAGATTGCGACTGCCTGCAGATTGCGATAGCCATGTAGTTACTGACGGTAAGGACGGGAGCCATCGCGTAGGTGTGGTTCTCGATCTGTCATCGCGATATGTTATCATGTAGTTCTGCCAAACGGTATGTCATTACCCAGCTCCCGAGGTCGCGTCCAGGGATAAAACGTGAAGCGTGTGGAAAGCTGCCGCGCGTCACAATGTGTAGCCCAGTAATTTGCTACCGCGCGATGGAAGTGTTAAGTATCCGACAGATGCTCTTGGGGACGTGACTCGCCACAATTTCAGAGCGGCAGTAGATTGTGCCTAAGTGGTAGCGTGAAAGATAGATTCACATGATAGCGCGGAGGACCTAACCTGATGTCGCTTAACGCCGGAAGTGCCAACACCGCCTTTCAACCAAACGGCCTGGACCCTCCCCGCCGTCGCAAATAATCTCGCAGAACCACCAGCCTTCACACAAATAAATCCTCGGACTTTGATCGCTCTCGACATATATCTCCACTCACACTCAGCGACTGACTATCAGCAAACTACAAGATGGGTAACGGAGCAAAGTAAGCCACTTTACATATATCCAGCAGCCCTGGAACGCTCGCTAACATTCTTCGAAGAGCGCAGCAGAAACGCGACAGGAAGGGTTAGCATCCCACCATAGGAGCCGCCTGTGAGACAGACACTAACTTCGTACTCGATATCTACAGGCGATGCCGGTCCCAAGGAAGCAAAGAGCCAACTGAAAGCCGTACGTAACCCCGCTCCCTCGCGCGATCCTGCAACGTCGCGGTCCCGCATCCATATCACAGTTACAAGTCGCACTGCTAACACAATGCCAGAACGCCGCCGCCCAGACCATCAAGTGCAAAACCTGCTTCCAAACGTTCCAGGGCACCACGAGCCGCAAGATGCTTACCGATCACGCAACCAACAAGCACAGCAAGGAGTTCGACGTCTGCTTCAACGCCGACGAGGGTGTTGTGAAATAAGCGGTCACACTTCCGAGCGAGTACATGAAGACAACCGACGAGACGACAAAGTTTGCTATTTACACGAGCATGAGATACCACGGGCGGGGAGTGAGGAGTTGAAAGGGGACGGCCATGTATGGCGATTTGACGAGGCATGATACACAGGCGTAGGGATCGATATATCACGAATCAGACTATTGGCTACCAAACGCCTTCTTTCTCATACTACTACAGAAGGGCGGCCCTCTCTTTGATTGACTGATGGTGGTGATTTAGTGTTGAGGAACCTAAGACTGATGTCGTTCCAGGGGCACAGATATAGGTTGTTGGACCAGCGTAAGCGGAAGACGACGCGTGTAACAAGTACCCGGCCGGGATACTGAGTATCTATAGCAGACACGTGCTGTTGGCCGATTCGACAAGGACTTGGGAAATGGATGGACGCGTTGCCACTCACTCCTGTGGAACCACCTGTCGATGCATTCCAAAAGACAGATTTCCCCTGATTCGAGCAAGTCAACTTGAAGATGGCACCTAAGCGTAGCCTATGGTGCGACTCCATTCTGGTATTGCAACACTTCACTTCAACATCGTTATCCCCGTGTTCGTGTATGCTAAGCGCGCATATCTCGCGTCTTACTTGATTAGGTGATCCGCACAGTAGAGTCAAACTTGCAGTCCTGGTGTGCAGCGCGCATACCTATACAAGAAAACCCCGTCCCGAAAACAGACAAACCGAGGTGCAACGTACAACAGTAATGAGTACAGTGTTCCTACATTGCCAATCACCATCATCCCTAGTTCCCGTCCCAGGCCTGGTCAAGTCTAGCCCGCGGTGCAAACCCCACTTCCACCCCACCAACGTACTTCATCACCACGCAGGGTTTTGATTTCGCCACAACAGATGACTTTTTGATCTTTCCCCGATCTTGGCCTTCACTTTTATGGACTGCGCCGTGAAATTTGGGATATTAGGGTTATGCTTTTCATTTTCTCCATCAATTCCCTATCACAATCGTCTCCTTAGCTCAATTGGGAGAGCGCCAGACTGAAGTCTCAGTCACTAAATCTGGAGGTATCGTGTTCGATCCACGAAGGGGACAACGTGCTCGAGCTTGCTCGGGATTCTTCGAACCATTCTTTTTGCGGATGTAGGTAACATGGCGGGTGCGCCTGGCATGTATCCTTTTTGCTGGTGTTGGGGGTTTGTGAGAACACCAGGAGTACTCTGACGAGTACTATCACTTTTGCGCATAGTGAGAGGTGCACCTGACAGACGTTGTAAGCTTATAGACTGTAGGGCTTGACCAAGCGCACTGAAAGGCTGGCCCTGAAGTGCTTTTATTTTGAGCACCTGTATGTCATAAGGGTGATACTAATCATTACACCAAGATCCTGATCCTTCCTCTCTTCTTGGACAGCTTTTTTGCGCACTTCGCGTGCTAAACTCCAAGCCCTCCTTGTACAAACTGAAAGCATGGTATTGTTCCCCGGGAAACAATCTCTGTCACAACCCTCATATCGCCAACCTGTTGTTGTCCGTCCATCCCACCCACACCCCACCAATCTCCCTCGCGATATCCTCCGCAGTCCTCCCATTCGCATCCCTCAGACTCCTGATATCAATCTTGTCTTCTGTGAGCCCCCTCATGATACCCATGGCCTCCGCCTCCTGGAAAACCTGCGTAGGGAAGTCGAGCAGCGGATAGTTACTCGCCAGCAGCAGTAACAACCACGCGACCTCTCTGCTCTGCGCATGCACTGCCGCATGTAGCCCCGACTGCATGTCCCCAATCGGATCTTGGTATCTCAACATCCTATCGATGCCCACCTCCTTCTCAGGATGATCCGTTGTGCTCATTTCGACATCGCCCTCGTCGTCCTCGCTGTCATCGTCATCGTTCAGCAGCAGCTCGACAACAGCCTTGTAATCGCCTTCGCGACAGAACTCGAGGAAGGCGCGCGCTTTCCTGTCTTCCGGGTACGCTTTCAGGTATGATTCTTCGGTGAGGAGGGGCAGGATATCGAGGTTCTCTTGGATTCCGCCTTCGTTGTTGAGTCGGCAGAGGACCTTTTGTTGGCCGTCGCCTGTGCTGGAGATTTCTTTGCCGCAGTGGGGACACGAGGTTATTTCGTAGGCGGAGAGGAGACAGTCCCTGCACGTGGCGTGTTAGCGATAGTATGCGATTGCGCGGAAGGGGCTTTGCGTACCAGTGGAAGTGGCATCCGCAGGTTAGCTGGACGTCATCGGGATATGTTTCTGGTGCCGCCGCGGGTCCTTTGCCGGAGGACGATGCGCCGCCCTCGTACTCTTCGTCCTCGTCGCGCTCGACTTCTACCTCCAAGGGCTTGTCGCAGATGACACAGGTAGACATTTTGGTGCTTATGCTATGTGCTCAAAAGATGTGACGGTGTTGGTGTTATGGGCGGGGCTATAGCGGGGGTTGTACTTTTTTTGTCGCTAAAACGGGAGGGCGTTCACGCGTCACGCGTCAGAGTTTACACGGACGTCATCGACCTCGCGACAGCGTCAATGACTTGGAAGGGTCTTGCTCCTTATGAATCTATTATCTCCTTGTATTAATTGGGTATTAATGTCCCTATTATCGCAACCTTTGATAGCTCGGGTTCGTCCACATTAAAGGGACGCGTGCGAGCGCGATCCTTTCCCGCCCTGTTCCCCTCGGCCTGCCTTCACCCACACGACTTCTAATGGCGTCTCTCACAACCCTTAGACCATTGCTGAACCGTGTGCCGATCTCGTGAGCTGTCGAGTTCGCTGCCACCGGACTGTGATTGGTTCGAGATACTCGCTGCATGGTACGGTTGGGCGGCAAGTCTTCGTCCTGTCCATATTCCTGTTCTGCGAAAGCTGCTGACCTCTCCTGGTTCTTCGTCTTCAATTGCTTGAAATAGCTATCGTAAAGCTGACCCCAATCCACTAGAATGACTCCTTCTTCCATGTTCCAGTACCGGATCGATTTGTTCGATACCCCAAGTGTCCAGTGCTGTCCGACACTCATCGTCACATTGCATCTGGATCGCGACGCGGAAAAAAGTCGGGCCCATCCGTAGCAGCCTCGGCGGTCTTCATCTCGCCATACGCTTGAGATCGGTGCTTCTTGTTCGACGGAGAATACGGCGACAGTTGGATCCTCCACCAGGAATCGATTGAATTGCAACCGGAAGGTATGATTCCGGCAGCCAAGATTGGAATTGATTATCGTGTGCGGTAGATGGGCTACTGGGCCTCGATTTGACATGGCCGGTCTTGAAGTGCAGGTATTCGGATTCCGTGGCGAGATCAAATCGGTGGCGCGTCGACACATATTGCAGGAATGATCTGAGAACTCGTGGTCGGTCTTATTGGAACTGAACATGTTTAAAAGCGGAAGGCAGAGCATACTGAAAGCAAATGCGAAAGTGTGCGTAGAATAGGCAGTGTTGACGGGAAATGAACAGCATGCCAACACGTTCAAGGTGGTGCAAACAATGCCATGCAGGCTTTGCTTGTTTCCGTGGGCGATCAAGTCCTCTTCCAAATACCAATTCCGGCACCCTGTTTCTGCCGCCGTAGCCAGGTACGTGCCGGACTACTCCTCACCGTACCATGGTAATGTCGTTGCGTGGCCCTTTTCATCGGTCGCGCTCCGCAGACTAAGGCAGGGAGGGGGACTCACCAGGCCGGCAAGTGAGGAAAAACAGCATGAGCCTTTGCTTTTTTGGAATACCAGAGCTAGCGCACGCCCGTTCTCTCGAAGGAGCACAAGCTCCGTCTCACCGTCATCTCGCCAGCGAATGCTTGCTGCGGAGGAGAAAAAGCACTGCGATTATCTATGGAACAACAATGTACATATGCATGGCGTACGAGCGAATTGTAGAAATTGGTCGCTCGTAAACTCCACAAAACAACGTACGACACCAAGACCTTACACACCACTTCAGTCATCCTTCAACGTGCTTGGCAGAACTGGCTGCCTTGTTGACCGCCATGGGCAACTTCAGAATGCCATGCTTGGGCCAACGTGGTAGGCGCCATTGCCATATCAAATCTCCGGCGCCTACGACATCCTCAACAAACCAATTCCAACTGCCGTTTACTTTTGACATATCGTAGAAGCATCGAAGCTTCCACGGGCTGTGCGATTGTGGCCCGTGAATCAGTGTAATTACCGTCGAGCATTCGCAATGTGGCGTTTTTGGTGACGGAATGAGACGGACTTGACTTCCTGAACGCCAGGGAGTTGCGCATCGAATGCAAGTTGGTTTGCGATGCCTAAATGACCACGAAGTTAGCATGACAATACTTCGATGTTGCTGAACCACCCAGGTAGGCGCTTTACTTACCGTTCCATTCCTCATCTGCCCTCCTGTCTTCCTCAGCCATCTCTTCGATGCTCTGAATGCTCCTCATCTGGGGCTGCTGCCTCTTCTCCAACTCCATCTTCGCAGTCATCTGCTCCATTATGGCTTGCTCGGCGTCTAGTCGTTGTATGCTATCTTTGCTCCGCAGTAGAAGACGGTGTGACGCTGACTTCCAGATCGCTCTCGAATCTCCGATGCGTTGCTGAAGAGGCCTTTCCCAATCTTGTTCCCAGCCCCGCGCTGGCTCCTTACCTGTTGCAGGTAAAGCGGTTTGAGAATGGAATGCTGGTGCGTGGAGAACTCGGGCATTGGCAGTCGGTTTGGGTTGGATGGGTACGGCGGTTGATCTTCCTAATCCAGAAGGAGAGTATGGCTTCTGGACTTGATGCTTTCGGACGTTGAGGGGTCGGATCGTTACGTCGACCGCAGAATCGTATCTGTTCGAGGGAGGTGGAGGCAGTTCTCTCCTGAGTGTTCGTTGCAGCTCAAATGACTCTTGCCATGAGAGCACGGATCGTGGGCCTTCTAATAGGCCTGGCACAGTTGCGTTTTGTTTCTGGGGCTCGCCAACAGCTCGCTTGGTCACCCTTCCAGCAAACATCGGTGTTTGCGAACCCAGTCGCCCTCCCACAAGTGAGTTCACACTCGGGTTTACAAGCCGAATAGTCTCGTCTGTCGGAGTTTCTTGCGGTGTAGCCTTCCGAAGGCTTCCTGCTGAAGGTAACGCCCATTTAGTTTGTTCATCCCATGCTTTGGTGCCGCCGTTGTGTACCTTTTTCGAAGGCTGCTCTCTTCGACCGATGAGCCCTTTGCGTGGCGTGTGCCGGACATCGGGGCGACGTACAGGCGACGATGCCGTCTTACTCATGTCCACATAGCTAGCGGATTTGTACTTGCGGTGCGGATGGTGATTTCGTAGACAACTGCCAAGCTTCCTAGCCCAGCGCCGGAGACGAGATTCGCGTTTGTGGACGGTCATGATCGTAATATCAAAGTCAGTGTAGTTGTTTCCGGCGTTTTGGGGTGAATTATTGCGTCAAAATTGTATAACGTGGCTGCTTGTGAGAACATTCGTGGAGATGCTCTCGCGACCAGATAAACCGTCACAATGTTATCTAACGTTCTCATAGCAACGTTGTTCTACTCCACTCTTCAAGCGGGGCCGATGATGATGTTCCTGCCCTGCTTATCCATCCGGGTCCCTGAGTAACGCTGACGCCTGTTGCGGATGCCCGTTGGGTGGCTGCTTGGGAAGGGACAGCAGTTCCATGTTTCCAGTCATCTAGCCGACCAACGCACCCAACCGTTTACCGTTTGGCCGAATAGATACCTAGGGAATATCCTTGGATTCTCGAGCCACGAAGTGTTTGCGCTGGTAGTTGTGGTCGCGCAGTCGGTTCGTCGCTCCGCTGTTCAGTCTCGAGTGAACCTATCTGGTATACAAGCTTCCACTAGCCTGTCCAGGAGACTCCATAGGCCCTGGGCTAGTCTGCACGCTTCCCAGATAGCACCACCGACAACTAGGACAGACAACGCGGTGGCCACGATGACAACGCCCACCACAATGAAGCCTAGCACGTGCGTAACTGACAGAAGAGGCTCTGTGATCCGCCATTCCACTTTCTTCTTTCCTACTCGTGCGAAGTAGAACGCCAGGAAGCCATATCGGCGCACCTGTATATCACGATCGAGACGTCCCACATATTCCAACCACTCTGCAGCGGTCATTGTGACCTCTTCCCCTCCTCCAACAGAAACACTGATCTTCTGCTCGAACCTCGCGATGCGATTGCACAGTCCTCCGAAAGCCAGCTTGGCAAGCAAAGCTTGGTCACTGATGCATGCTATGCGCAGCTTTTGCTTGTCACTAAAAAGTGGCGTGATGGTTCGCAAGACTGTTTCGATGGGGGAGTGTCCAAGGCTGCACCAGAAGCAGCACCGAGAGAAGTGAACTTGCTCTTCGTGGAAGCATTTCTGTACTAGTACTTCTTTGGCGCAGCTGTAGAGTTGACGAGAAGTGGGGCGCGCGCTGAACCAGAGTTCTGATGGGGATAGGTAACTGCAGATGTTTAGGACGAGTTCGTTTGGCAGGCTATCCATCGAGGCTGTCGGCGGGGGTGAAGTTCTGGAAGGTTTGGAAGACCGCAGAGAGACGCGCTGTGTCGCATTGCGTCCTGAAAGTCCAGTCTTGCCTCCAGTGCAGTATAGTAACATCCTCGTGAAGCGCGTAGCGAGTGACAGAGCGGGATCCGACGATAGGAACCTTGCGGCATTAATACCCATCATTTTGTTGATTTCTGATAATGAGTAATGGTCGTATGAGCTTAGCTTGCTGTACCTTGTCTTTACGAGGGGGTAAAGCAGGGCATCATACTCGGACTTTGTACCGGCTCAAGGCTTTGGTTGAGGGGTGCTTGGTGCTGGTCTCACACCGATGGGTGGCTCACAATTGGGTAAGAAGGCGTGAGGCTGAGGAAGCTGATGATTCTGGGCCGCATGGCATCAGGCGCAACGTCGAATCGCAACTGTTGATGCAGTCATACCAGTTTCCCAAAAGGGTAAGAGGCTGCATATGCCTTTACACTGGCCTTAGGCGAAACGGGTTCTTATACAACTGACAGGGGAGTGTGCCTCGCATAGCGACAGCGGAAATCCACCGACAGGCGCGGATTGCGACGGGTAGGTGTATCGAAAAGGGAGCCAGGGAGCCCTGTGGCGTCGTAAGACTGAGCGTTCCCAAGGAAGTGGAAACGATACGATCTGATCTTGGCACACGGTACATTGTACTGTAGATGCTGAAGGACCCTTAAGGCCCCACCCGTCTCTTTCCTGGTGGTGTGATTCACTGCTGACGCAGAGAAACTTACACTTTTTGCGACATGAGTTGCGCCACGCTGACTGCGAGCAACAGCTGCGTGCTCACCATCGTGGTATTATCATCAGCGCCTGGGCAGCAGTCCTGATACTATACGCAATGCCATTTCTCGAATAGACCAATGGATCGCATGTGCTGGGAGACGGATCGGCATCTACGGGGTTCATCTTGGTCAGGATCCATGAATCAGCCTTCCTGCAGGTGCACCTGAACCTTCTGAGATGCTCCATCTTGGTCGCAGCCGCTCGAGACAGTATGTGTGGCGATATTGATGCAACAAAGCTTCAGCGTATTCTGATATCTAGTGGGTGGGTTCATCAGTCTCTTCTTCGTCGCGTGAGTAATCCGCCGAAGGCAGGGCGGTAGGTTGCTCCGAGGACGGGAGCAGCACGGACCCTGACACGCCTGATTGCGGCCTCAGCCGCTTCCAATCCAGATGACGTCGCACGCGAACTCCGCTCTCTGACAGCCTGACGCTACCAGCTTTCACGTCGCAAGTAACTTTAGGTCGCCAAACGACCAGCGAGAACGCACATATCGAATGAGAACGAGGCATGCTCCCATGGAGAAATATCTGCAAAAACTCGGAGGATTCAGAATCTCGCCGCGTCTTGGGGAACGGGCCGAAACTGCGCACACGCCCATGGCCCAAATGAACCGAGGTGCTTAGCAGTCGAGGCCTCCCCTATATTTTGGAATCAGTACTAGTCCCCCGCCGAACCTCGTCCGCGATCAGTAACCGGTTCAATCTTCACACCGAAGGGGTGTGTATTGCACCGCAGCTTCTAGAAGAGAAGTATATGTATATTAGCACGCGCGAGCTGGAGAATAGCAGAATAGCATCATCGTTACCAAAAACATAACCGTCAAAACTGCGCGAGGGCATAAAACCAGCGTTAAGGCTAACCAGACACCTACACAACATTTGGAGTTCAATAACACACCATTCGGCACTAACCCACACAAAAATCAATAACCAGGTTCCAAGATGCAGAATAATCGCCAACTAAGGGATCCGGTGACATTGCCATCCGGTCTTGTGTTCAAGAACAGGCTACTCAAGGTGGACAACGACGAAAACAAACGCAGTGCGACCATGTCCCTAACACATCATAGGCAGCGATGGCAGAAACCATGTCAAAGTCTCACGACCCAACAGATACCCTTATGGCGGCCTACAAAGCATGGGGAAAGGGAGGATGGGGCGGAATCATAACGGGTACAGAACAGCTCTCACCAACTGATCTTTTTCAAGACTAACATGCAAAGGCAACGTGATGATCGATGAGCGCTGGCTCGGAAACGCCCTCGATGTCTCTCTCACACCCAGCACTAACCCCGAACTCATTGCTCAATGGCGCAGATATGCAGAAGCATGCCGTGTCGAAGGTACCCCAGCGATCGTCCAGCTTAACCATCCCGGCCGCCAAAGTCCCCTTGGAGCAGGTTCAAAGGGGCTATTCGAGAAGAACATCGCACCAAGCCCTATCGCACTACAGTTCGAAGACAACATCTGGGCGAAGACGGCGCAAAAACTCATCTTCGGCACCCCGCGAGAGATGACAGTCGCAGAAATCGAAGACGTCGTGAAAAGACATGCCGACGCAGCCAAGTTCCTCAGCGAAGCAGGTTTCGACGGCGTAGAACTGCACGCCGCACACGGATACCTACTCAACATCTTCATGTCCCCGAAGACAAACCACCGGCAAGACAACTACGGCGGCTCAGCGTTCAACCGCGCCCGCATCGTTCTCGACATCATCAATGCTATCCGCGCTGTCGTTCCATCTACATTTACAGTCGGCATCAAGCTCAACTCCGCTGACGTCCAACATTCCAGCGATATGGAGGACGTTATGCAACAGATCGGTTTCCTCAAGGATACCGGTATCGACTTCCTCGAGATCAGCGGTGGATCGTACGAGAACCCTAGGATGATGAAGGGCGACGAGCCACAGTCTGGCGAGAAGCCGGTGTCTGAGCGTACCGCGAAGCGCGAGGCTTTCTTCCTTGATTTTGCGAGGGTGGTTAGGCAGAAGTTCCCAGATGTGGTCTTGATGGTTACGGGCGGTTTCCGCAGCTTGACGGGTATGCGTGCCGCGCTGGAGGAGAATGCTTGTGATCTGATCGGTTTGGCGCGACCAGCTGCTGTGGACTCGAGTTTTGCGAAGAAAGTCTTGGAGGCAGAGGCTGCGGGTGGTGATGTCAGTCTGAGGTTGGATGCTGTGAAGCCGAGCTGGTTGGTCAGCAAGATTCCGGTCAAGGCTCTAGGTGCTGGTGCGGAGAGTGTAAGTCTGGCCCCCGAGAAGTGAAAATGTGGATGCTAACGAATTATCAGGCTTTCTACGGCGCTCAGATTGAGCGAATCGGTAAGGGGCTACCAACAAAGACACCTCCTACCACAGCATGAGACGAATCTGGAAGATCTGGGTCG